CGTTTATAGGACGGGTATGAGTAAGTTTTCAAGCCCGTAAAAACGGATATGGTTTTACCATATTAGGCCCGTTGGACAAAAAAATAGGTTAAGTCCGGCCCATATCCGACCCAAACCTGCAAATGATCAACTCTAGTTATGAAATATTTTCCTGGTTGTTATCTAAGGCCCCTGGGTTTAATCAACGTGCATGTAAATCGGTTCGAACATCCACAATTAACATAAAACACGATTATGTGAAAATACATGAAGATCCAAACTATCAAAACAATAGATTGACTTTAACATAAGCAAAGAATGTCAAAAATATAACATCAAAAACTTAGGGGGTGTTTGGTTCACAGAATGGAATTTGATGGAGTTGGAATCCATCAAAGGAATTTGACTTTGAAGGAATTGGAATGAAATTTGATGGAATTTGACCATGTATTTGGTTGGTAGGAATTGGAATGAAATCTCTCAATAGAATTGGAACAATCATCTTTGTATAGACTATCCATCCATCTCCCCGCCACACACCCTACCAGCCACCATGTCACTAATATCGTCGTCACAACTATCACCCGCCCTTCCCCCACCACTTCTGCCCTACCCTGCTCCATAGGTGGGGATTGTTGCGGGAAGGCAGGGGTGGGGCGAGGCAGTGGGTTTGAAGCTAGAGTGGGGCAATAGGTGGCAGTGTGATAGTTGTGATGACTACATTGGTAGGATGGTGGTTAGTGATGGGTTAGAGTAGGGTAAGGTAGGGTGGGGGCAAGGCAGGACGGTGGGGTGGGTAAGGGTAGGTGGCGGGGTGGTAGTTGTGATGATGCTAGTGGTGGGATAGTGGTCGGGAGGCTGGGGCCAGGGAGTGGGTGGGTATGACGACAATAATAGTGCATGGTGTTTAGTGGTGGGTTGGGGTAGGGTGGGGTGCGGGTGAATGGCGGTTGTGATGGCGACAATAGTAGTGTAGGGGTGGAGGGTTAGGTTAAGGGGGCAAGGGCGGGGAGGTGGGGATCAGTGACAGTTGTGACGATGATAGTGGTGGGATGATGGTCAGGATGATTGGGAGTGGGTGGGTATGATGACGACAGTAGCGACATAGTGGCTAGTGGTGGTTAGGGTAGGGTGCGGTAGGGTGAGTGGCAGTTGTGACGACGACAATAATGTTGTGGTGGTGGGGGTTAGGTTAGGGGTGTGACACTAATGTTTGTAGCATAGTCGTAGTAGGGATGTGTAGTGAGTGACCGGAGGGTGGGTGGGTGTAATGACAACAGTAGCGGCATAGTGGTTAGGGTGGGGTAAGGTGGGTGGCAGCGACATCAGTGGTGGGGGTTAAGGGTGGGGCATCATGAACAATAGTAGCATGATCGTGGTGGATGGCGATGGAATTCAATTCCTTCCATTATGCCAAGGAATGATGAATTCATTAACTTGTGGAATTCAATGGAATTTGAAGGATTCCATCCATTCAAGAAATGAACCAAACAAAGGAATTGGAATTTGATCAAAGGAATTTGTCATTCCAATTCCATCGAATTCCTTCGAATTCCGCAAACCAAACAGCCTCTTAGAATTTGAAGCTACTTGGTACTCCCTTAGTCCCAACTAAATGAGTCTCTTTTGTCTAAATTACAAAAGGTAAATTTGGTTTTGTTTAAGACCGGAGGTTGGGGTTGGTGTAATCTGTTACCAAGAACAGTTCTCAATAAACAAGAAGAAATCTGTTAACAAGAACATTTCTCAATAAACAGTTCTTAAGTTAGAAAGGAATAGATACCTGGTAGTAATCTGTTAACAAGAAGAAATTGATATCTAAGTCAAAATACGTGGCAAGGAATCGATACCTGGTAGTAATATGTTAACAAGAAGAAATCGACATCTAGGTCAAATCGATACCTGGTAGTAATTTGTTAACAAGAAGAAATCGTCATATAGGTCAAAATACGTGGAAAGGAATCGACACCTAGGTCAAAATCAATACCTGGCAAGGAATTGATACCGTAATGAGATACGTCCTGGAGGCCTGGAGTGCTAGTTGTTGTGCGCTAAATGAGATGGAAGACAGGACAAAGGAGTTGCCGAGTCGGGAAGGAAAGCAGAGGCAGCTGCTATGCGCTAAATGAGATGGAAGACACTTATACACGCACAGGTTATCGGGTTGGGTCGGGTTCCCTTGGGCCTGGCCCAATACCGACCCAATAGAGGCGGGTTGGCCAATTTCATGATCAATCATGCTTCGAGTTACCTCGGGGTTTTTTTTGATTTTTTCGGGTTAGGTTGATCGAGTTGGCCGGGTGTTGAGCACCCTAATTATAATTGTTCTTAACCGTCTATAACCGTTGATCTCTCATATAAAACATGATCCGACGAATATATATGTATACGAAATCATCATCTTATTTCGTGTATGTAGCTTCTAGATTATCTCAGTACTAATTTCGTGAAAACCCAAGTTATCATATGGGCGAAATATAGTATTTGAAAAGTGTCTTTCCAATACACGAAAAAGAAACTTATCCAAGTATAATATAACCACAAAATCAAATTCCTCAACATGGAGTACTATTTAGTGCGAGCACAACAAATTCCTAAACACAAACTAAGACTTTAAATTCAATTTAAAATTATGTCGAGAAGTTATTACTGAACACAATTAATGACTTATAAGCGGCTCATAATTGATTTGACATGGAATGTTATAATCTTTTTTACTTAAATTCTTGGCTATTAAATGCATGAGTCTAAAACAACACATTAAGGGGTTACCGACTTACCGGTATGATATCATTTGTAATGTCCCCAACTTAAAATACTAAACTAGTTTAATAAAATAGCAAACTAATCTAATAACCTTCAAATCAACTTACAGTCATAATAAAAAGTTATTGATAACTTACAGTTTTAAATTTATAAAAGAGTTTATAATTTATACATAAGTTGAGGTGGACCAGGTGTCACATGTTATCTTTTGAACTAATATTTCATGTTGAAAACAAAGCACCCAAAGGACATTGTACACTCCTCTCAACATCTTTAATTGATTTCTAAGATAAATGTAACGTATATTTCTATTTCTATCATGGTAAGTCACATTAAAACAAAATAGGGTTTATAGCGTGCCAACAATATATAAATGTACTAATACATTAAACCGTTTTATATGACTTAAAATTCATAGGACAAAACCATAACGTATCATATCTAAAGAGTTGTAATAAGTTTATAAGGCACTTTTCAGTGTCTTAATTTTTTTCTTGGATATTCTGATAAAGCGTCATTTTGACTATTTTATAGAACACTATTTCAAAAAAATATATTACCAAAACAAGTGTCCTATAAAAAATGTATTTATAGAACACTTTTCAAAAGTGTCATATGAAATAGCTAATACGATCTTTATTTTTAAAATATTCTAAGAACTTGTAAAGACGTCCAAAAATACCGTATGAATTTTATTACAACACCTTTACATTAATGAGACGTTTTACTGTTTAATCCTATAAACTTAAACTCTATATAACTAACTTATAATTATGACATTTATACACTGTTGACGTCCTATGAATTTGATTTTGTTGTGGTGTCACATATTATATAAAAGGACCCACTAAATCTTAAGAGTTCAAATAAATAAAATAAAAAACATCTTAACTAAACAGTTAAAAGTAATATACCTAATTCATACTTTTTTCCCACCCATATAACTCGGTATCAAGATTCAATTTCATTCGGTGATGTTACGTAAATCATTATAAAACTATAAAGAAAAAACAGTGACGTATATGCTTTTCAATAATGCAGTATAAAACTATACCATAACAGTCAAAATCATGTATTATAATTGATTTAATTGGTTGTAAGTATGCAAGAAGTTAGGCATGGATTCTTTGTAGCATTCATTATCATTTACTTAATTGAAAGATATATTTGTTGCATGAATATTGATGAAAGAAATGCCAAAAGGGAATGTGTGAAGTGAGTTAGCCCACAAAATATTTATATGGAGATACGAAAGCAACAAATGATAATGAAGATAGAGATAGAGATGGGCATGTTATCTTTCAACCTTAATTAGCAACCCCTTTCTAAAATTACCTCTTTGCTTTAACCATCAAGATTCTTACTTTTTTGGTAACCTTTCAATTTTGTCCTCTGTCATCTTTCATATCTATATTTGCTAATCGTATAAAGTGTAAACATTTATGATACAAAGTATATATGTCGTATAATCACAATATATAGATTTGGTATCATGTGAGACCAAGGGTTTTTCGTGAGACCCGTAACACCAATTCTCAACCCTTGGATTAGATCTACAAAATGACAATCTGAACATTCATAAACGTCACGAGATTTCTCAAAGATCACAAAATTGACACCGTACAACTTTATACCATTTGATCATTAGCTTATAAAGTTGATCAATGAACATTTTTTCATAATTCTAATTATATGTTTTTTAACATGAAAAACCAAAAGGTAAAGAAAAAAAAAAAAGAATTTAGCATTTAGTCAATGCATTTTAGCTCTTGCGAATCTTGAAGGTAGATTTTATAGAAGAAAAATGGGATGTTATTAACATAAAACAACAGAAACTACAATTACTTTTGTTTTAGCATTCATCACTTGCATTAAAACTCTATTTTCTATTCTTCCTACCCCTATCTCAAACAATTAATTAAACTATCGACAATAATTACTGATTATTATATAAATTTTAGTGACACGTATAAAACGCAATTTATGAATTAGTTTAAAATTTAAACTGATCAAAAGTCTAAATTTCTTTTTGCACTTCTTACATTAACTCATATCGTTATGATGTATGTATGCAATAGTTTGAATGGACTTTCAACTTGTGAAAAGTTAAGTGAGATGAAAAGTCATTTATAAAAGTTGAAGGACTGTTTTGTCATTTAATGTATTGATCTTGCAGAGTAGGCCTATAAATACACCAAGTTTCCCTCCCAATTTCCCCCTCCATCATAACTCCGTCATTTAATTTTCTTCAACTGCTAATTCGTCCACACTCAAACACACTATTTCTGTCTGAAAGATGTCCGCCGGCGAAAATGACGGTTGCGCCGATCGTATTGATGCCATCAAGTCCACCCTCCGCGTCGTCCCCGACTTCCCCAAACCAGGTACACTCACATCTCTTTTTTTTCCCCGTAAGAAATTCATCCACTATCAGTGGATATATATGAGTGAAAATTATAAACATAATCTCTCTTGCATTGATGAATAATGATGGTGAATAGATTGTGTGAATAACAGGGATACTGTTTCTAGACATCACTACATTGTTGCTTGATCCAAAGGCCTTCAAGGACACCATTGATTTGTTCGTTGAGCGTTACAAACAGAAGAACATTTCTGTAGTTGCAGGTATTTTTTTTTAAATTCTTTGAGGTTTTACAAAGTCGATCGCAATTTGGCTAACTACTCATTAAACGTCACCTTTCCCCCAATTACTTTTTGAGATATAGGGTCCAATTTTGAGTTTTACAAGTTAAAGTAATACTCCCTTGCCCCATGAAATTGCACTAACTTTATATCGTTTTGTCACCCGAAAATTTCAATATTTCCCTTTCCCTTTTGCAAAATTTCAAACTTCGTTGACTATTTTGCTCACTGTCATCCTTGTAAATGCTTAATTTTATTTATTTTGGTCAATAAATGTTCAAGTAATTTTGCTATCATTATAAAGACTGCGGTAAAATTGTTCTTATACCATATGTTTGATCAAATGTTTCGATTTTTAGGAGAAGAAAATAAAAAGACAGGATACCGTTATGGTTATGTGGTAGTACTGTTTCAATGGCTTTATTTTTGGTATATCTATCAATCATTGAAATCTTACCTGACATTGCGGAAAGTGATGTCCCAGTGGTGCCAATCCTTGCCTATGTGTTAGAAGCTCGAGTCTTTCCTTCCCTCCGTGATTATTTTGATAGGAAATAGATCAAAAATTTCAGTAAAAATATATCCTTTTTGTTGTTAGACAGGTTTGCGGGTGGTCTTGTTAATATTCGTGAGCTACAACACTCTTGAATTGACTTCATATGAATTTGCTTTTGTTTGGAGTGAAGCTGAGTATTTATTATCAACTAGTAGTGGTTGATAGGTAGTGGAAAATGGGGGATGGAGGGGTCAGCGATCACTAGCTACGAATGAGTATGAGCGGCTAAAAGTGGCCTTTGCTTACTAAAGCATGTGCTATCTCTTTCGAGATCCAAATTTGGGGTGGGATAATGGCGGTTGTTGTTGTTGGAGAAAAGTTGCTGGGACCCGCCCTAGTAATTATGGATTTCGCAAGAAGAGGACATACCCTTTTTAATTGGGTTTGGTTTCATTTCATTGCAATCTGGATTTTATAGCATATATTACTGTTTGAATGAGTTGCTTTTGAATTTGAGCCTTAATTTTTGTAACTTTTCGATGTCTATATACATATCTTTTTTGTCTTATCTTCATGACCTCACTCCACACGCTTACACTTTCTTTATGGTTAATGATTGCATTGATCTGCCATTTTCTAATAATCAAATATTGTTGGGCTAGATCATTTGTAGAAGGTGGAGAGTCTAATGTAATCAAGTGGGTACCCTTTTTGTGCCTTCTCTTTTGAGATTGCTCAGCATTTGTAACAAAATAGATCCTTTATTCTTCTAACCTGTTTAGTTTTATAACATTGGCATTCTGCTACCCTGTACTTTGTAACATGAAAAGTTTGGATCCCTGGTTTTTACAGAAAGAAGAAAATTAGAGATTGATATGGTTTATGTTATGGTTCCATTTGAAACTGAAACTGGACTATGGTATTCAAATGCTCATCCCTGAATTTATCTAAAAAGCTAAACAGATTTTATAACCTTGATTGCATTGCATAACATTTAGATCTTGCGCCATGGACTGATGTTTTTTTTTATTATATTTGAATTTGATTTATACAACTTTAATCTGATATTTGTGTTGATAGTGGAGTATGCTGACTCTTGTTTATTTGGTTTAAGATGCTTCCTGTCTGTAGCCAAGTAAAGTCTGTCTTTTTGGCTGGTGAAATTCTGTTTTTTGCTGCAAGAGTTCTGTGCCATTTTGGAGTCCTAATAATAACATATCTTTCTAGTATCTTCTGTTATATATAATAAAGATAAGAATTCCAGGGAGGATGACAAGAAATTCACCTGGAAATGATTGGGAATATCCAAGTTAGAGTTAACTATTGTGAATAAGTATGCATGCTACCATATAAGCTTTCAGTTTCAAGTTTATGGCAAGTAAGAATATGTGTTCTCCATTCCAGTTACATTTCGTTAATGTTACTTATTAATTTAGTGCTAGTTGACAACAATTCTAAGCTGCATTGTCTAATAAAAGTCAAAACAGGCTGAAAAAGTCAACATCCCAAAAACGGACAACATATTTGAACTCAAATGTTTCTAATGTGGAATATAAACCGGATCCTAAATCAATAATTCATGGCAATCAATAAAGAATAAACATTCAGCAATATAATAAACCATAGGGTTATGAGCAACACCAAGTTTATTTAGAAACCTAAAACAGGAAGAAACCACAGGTGGAGGAGGCCATCAAGAGAACATGTTTGGAATGGAGAAACAATGGAGAAATCACAAGGGAATACCCGTGTTTCGCCTATGGGGTATTTAGAAGAGTGTATATGGAGAGCAACTAACAATGTCACATAGAAATGGCAATGAAACTTGAAATGTCTTGAATGTGACTTCAAGTTGCATTTGCATCTCGCCCGGTTCCAAAACCTTTGCTGCATGTGAGTCGCATAGAAAAAATTGCGAGCAACTTCCAAGTTGTGACAAACTAGCATGTAACTTGCAGTTTTTGTTCCGTAACATTTTCCTCTGTACCGGTGATGGCGAGTTACAACTCGTGTGTATAATTTAATTCACTAGAAGCATGATACAGAATCTTATTTAACAATCTTCACCTTGACTCCAAATCCACATAACATATTTCAAGAACAAAGCTCTACAAAATCGTCATCATCAAACTAGCCAACGTATATACTTCTAAAAATTATCCAATAAATACTAAACTCATCCACTGAACCCACACAGGCTATCTCAAACAACAAACACTAACCAAGGTTGAAAATAAATCAAACTTAGCCATAGGAAAGACCTTCGGTCACAGAACTGCCTTCATTAAGCATATCATCAATAGTTGCTCAATTTCAACCATAATCTCGTTGTTTCCTTCTTCAAAACATTCTGTAAAATGTCATTGGATAGATGCAAACAGATTTGAGTTGATGCGTTCAAGTCTTTCGATTCCTTCTCCTCTTGAAACCAAGTACCCAGGCAACAATACTAGATGCAAATCCAAACCACAAGGGTGGTGCCCTATTGGTTTGAGCTTGGGCTCCAAAGGTCAAAAGTGCCTGGAGGTCCCAGGTTCGAATCCAAGGAGGAATAAAAATCCCCATGTGGCCACGGAGGTTCAAATGCGGTGACTCAGGCTACCCGCGAAGCGGGTGGTTGCCCTGGGATTAGTCGGCTCGCATAGCGGGTTAGATATCCACGTTAATAAAAAAATGCAAATCCATCTGACTTATAACGTCTCTCATTTCCACTTGCCACAATAAAAATCTTGTATTCCTATCCAACATATTTATTTCATATCTCATAGATGCCATAATGATGAAAATCGAATAAGAAACCCAAATGTGTCTATAAAATCAAAACCAATAGGGCTCCGATACCACTTGTTTAATGCTAGTTTACTACAATTCCCAAACTTGATGTTCAACTAAAAGTCAAACAGGGCAGAAGAAGTCAACATCCCAATCATCAACATGCTTGAACTCAAAATCACAAGGGAATACACTTAGTAGCACATCTCTATTCCAATCTTACATCTTCAGCTTGTACCATCCAACTTCTTTATAGTTGCATTTGCTTTACTGTAATGGTGAGAGCTTATTATGCTTACGTTGTGTTCTCGAATAGGAGTGTACAAAAAACCGTCAACCCGCAAAACCCACCCAACCCAACCCGCTAACAACCCAATTAAACCCAATCCGCCAACCCGCCAAACCGCTAATTAGGAGGGTTGAAATTGGATTAGCATAACTCAACCCAACCCAAACCGCCAACCCGCCGCTAATATATATTATTTTTATAAAATTATGTGTGTGTATATATATATATATTTACAAAGTTATAATTTACATCCCAAAAATATGTATATTTTTTAGTCTAATGTACAACCCAAAAATTAAATACATGTATCGAAGATAAAGATGAACCAAACTCGTCTAAGAAAAGGGGTGGTAGAACTTCAAACGTTTAGGATCACTTTTCAAAAAAGGACTTTAGATATGTCTGTAATTATTGTGGAAAAGACTATGCTTACCATAACAAGAAAATTGGCACAACTTCTTTGTGGAATCACTTAAGAAACCAAGGTAAGAAGTATTTGGATAGCATTAACGATAAATAACAAAAATTGCTTAGCTTTCCTACTATCAATGAAAATGAGGTGTCATTTAATAAAGAGAGATGTCGCAAAGTCATGACTAGGTTTGTGCTTAAGGATGAACAACCCTTTAGTGTTGTAGAGGATGAAGGATTTAGAGAACTTGTCATGAGTTGCAACCAAAATTTAGTGTTCCTAGTAGAGTGACTGTTGCTAGAAATGTTTAGTGGTTGTTTTGCGATGAGAGAACTAAATTGAAGAAAGAGTTGACAAAGGTTGGACAAAGAATATGTTTAACAACTTTGTTGGGTATATTTTTAGTGTTATTTATCATATTTCATTTGCCAACTTTATGAATTTTAGTAACCCGCCAACCCAACCCAACCCAACCCAACCCAACCTAACCCTCAAGGGTTGGGTTGGGTTATACTTTTGAATGGGTTGGGTTGAGATTTTCCAAACCGCCATAATTGGGTTGGGTTGTAAAACATCTCAAAAACCGCCCAACCCAACCCGCGTACACCCCTATTCTCGAATTAGGGAAGGAAGAAAAGAAAAGAAAGAATTTTTTTTATTTGTGTTCTTGAGAGTGAAAAGAGAGGAAGGTAAGGGAGGGAACGGTAATGAATTTTCATGTTATTGAGCGAGAAAGGAAAGGAAAGGAAAGATGCCATTTTACCCAAATATACCCTTATTTATTTTATATTGGATTGTAATTGATGGGTGGATGTGTAATTTTTATAAATTTTTTTAATTGTTATAAATTCTTTACTTTATTTTCCTTTCCTTTCCTTCACATTTAGGAGGAAAATCAACATTATTTTCCTTCCTTTTCCTTTCCTTTCTTTTCCCTCCTCAAAAAGCTCAAGAACACAAGATTTTTTCTTTCCCCCTCGTTTCTTTCCCTTTCCTTTGTAAAAGAAGACTAGAGAACACAGCGTTAATCTTGGTCTCATGTTTGAATAATGGTGTTGTCTGTTTGGCGTAGCTAAAAGGCAAGTCTTGGCTTTTAGTGGTTGTGAAACTTGGCATACTTATTTGGATGTTCATCCTTTTCTTTTGACCTGCAGAGCCAGAGCAAAGAATCAACCTCTTTGCTTACAAGGAAAAGTTGTGTGCTTCAGCTTCCACTAATGGAGGAAGTTTGCCACTTTGATCAAAATATGTGATAAAAACATACTTAAGCGATGATAATGGTATCATAAAAAGTTTATTTTGGCATGTGTGCTCAGTTTTTATCCCGATACAACATGAACTACCTTATGAGAAACTTGTCTTAAATGATATACTAGTGCTGTTCTGCGAACACATGCCTTCATGAAACTAGATTGAAACATTTTGCAGCGTATGCTTATAGTTAGAATGCTTCTATATTTTCAGGTATCGAGGCTCGGGGTTTTATGTTTGGTCCTGCAATTGCACTGGCTATAGGAGCAAAGTTTGTCCCATTAAGGAAGCCGAAAAAGTTGCCTGGTACATCCAATCTTTCTTTCAATCCATCTTTCCTTAAGTTTTTCTTGTCCATTTTCCCTTTTTATTCTTATGGGTGCATTCATGTAAAAGAATGGGGTTATTATATACTGAATTTGCCCTGTGGATGCCTGCATTGTTTTGCATTTCTCTTTGATTGTTCTAGATCAAAAGAACATGTAAAACCAAGTGATTGCATCGACATTAATGGTTAAATATTGATATCTACAGGCGAAGTCATATCAGAGAAGTACGTTTTGGAGTATGGGACGGATTGCCTTGAAATGCATGTGGGTGCAGTTGAACCTGGAGAGCGAGCTCTTGTGGTTGATGATTTGGTGGCTACCGGTGGCACCCTTTGTGCTGCAATGAACTTGCTTGGTACATTTTACTTTAGAACTTCAATTATGAACCATCTCTTGTTCTTTGTACTGAAAACGACCGACTTGTTTCTCAGAGCGTGCTGGTGCTGTAGTTGTTGAGTGTGCTTGTGTAATTGAAGTACCGGACTTAAAGGTATACCTTCTCCAAACAATAATCTCATTTAAGTTTCTTATCAGGTTCAAAATCTTTTTGATTTTTGAATTTTGTAGGGCCGTGAGCGATTAAGATTGCAGGGGAAGCCGTTGTACGTACTCGTGGAGTCACAGTTTGAGGCAGGATCATGATGATATGGTTCATGTTGCATTGTGGGAGAAGTGTACATTAGAGGGGTAATATTCGCGACATATCTCATCAGAAGACCGTTTAAGTAGTAAGTTTTTGATGATAAAAAATTGAACTTTTATGGTAGGAAAACTGAATGTTAGGATGGAAAAGTGTTGTTTTCATTGGTAAATGCAGGCAGCTTCCTTTGGTTATGTTCCTGACTTCTGATACTCGCAGAAATCACCAAATCGATATCGCAAAGAACCATCATTGGTCGGTATTTGGTGATTTATGCGTGTGTTGTAGTTCTGTAATAACTAAATCAACGACTTCTATTTTGTTTTTATTTTAGTGTCATCAATCATTTTTGTGTAATTGTGGTTTACAAAAGATCGATGGTGCTTATAGTTAAAAACTACGAAATAGGTTACGTCTCACCATAGTGACTTTGATCGTCTGTTGCTAGATCGGTAGATATGGTTAACATATTTAAATCAGTCATTTACCAAATACTTATCGGATAAGTGTTTAACGACAACACAAATTACTCTTACTTATTTTGTCATCTAACATTGTCAGTCATCAAACGGATTGTTGGTAAGTGCTTCTCGGATAAGAGGTGTTTTCTTTACTTATCGCGTAAAACTCTCGATCCTTGTTACGAAAAGGAAATTTTATGAGACAGTAAAGAAAATTTACGAAACATAAATATTTTCGATCAACCAGTAGAATTCAGACACAACATCCAAAATTTGGTTCCGAATTTCCAAAAGTAGAACAACTCAAAGTCATTTTTTTAAAACTTGAAATTCCATTGTCTTGCAAAGTTTTAGTAAATTGTACTTTTAACTTTGTGGTATTTTGTGCCTTCAATGTATCACTTTATGATTTTAACATTAAAATACAATCCATCCCACGTTCAAGTTCTATGTTATAATTGTCTTTTTAGAATGATGTTATCATCAATAAACACAAAAAGTATTTATCAGGAATCTAATCAATATCTATATATTAAGCAAAATGCTAAACTGATAACGTGACAACTTCTTCTAAGTCTGAGAATTCATTTTTTTTTCTTTTTTCTCAATTTAGACGTCTTTTTCACTAACAATTGGTGTAATTCCAGACCCTTTTCTTTTGAGTTCTGTCGTTCTATTTTCTTTTTTTAACTCTAAACCCTTCATCTCCTGCTACACCCTATTTTAAATCATGTTGTTCTCTTTTTTTCATCTCTCAATTTTCAATCTACTCATCTCTTAGCTTTAGGATTTTTACTGATATTTTTTTCGTCTCCATCTGCTCTTTCACATAGGGACCAGGAGATTTACATCGTAGGGCTGTTGGTAGGAGAATGTGGGTTTTGCTGCAACCACATACATGATTAGGAACAAGTCGATCTGAAGGTAGATATGAGAATTGTTTTGTGTTATTTTTTCAATACCTTGTCATTTTGTTGAACGGTTTTCAACCCGTCAACTCGTCACCACTGTAGTACCCGCCGGGAGATAGATATATATATATATATATATGTGTGTGTGTGTGTGTGTGTGTGTGTGTATGTATGTATGTATGTATGTATGTATGGATGGATGGATGGATGGTAATATTTAGCTTAAAAAAAGAGAAAGAAAGAGAATATTGCTAAATGGATTCAACAGGTGATCATGTCCGTTTTTATTTTAAAAAGTTTAATATAAGTTGAGGTTAGTTTTATATTAAACCATTTTTGGGGGACTAGTTCTGCATAACCCAGTTGAAAATTTGCATATGGGATTTGTTTGGCCTCATTTTGGAGCACGGTTTTGATTTGTTTCTTTTGACTAAACACAACCCTAACTTCCTTAATTGCTAGACAAAAACCACAAACCACAAGCAATTGGGTTAAATCGATTGAGAGCGTAGGAGGGAAATCAATAGCAAAGGCAAGCAAGTTTTCATTGAATCATCGTCGTCTTGAGGTGAGTCCCATTTCTAATCTCGAAGTTATGCGATTGGTAGTTGAGATATGAATTTTGGGTTTGTTTGGGTAGAAACGGAGTCGTTTCGATGGCTCGAAATTCCGATTCAATTAAATAATAATGGTAGCAGCTCGGGGTTTGTCAAAATCATCACTGGAGCCCAAAATTCTGCTCGAATTTAATTCTATTTATTTCTTAAAGTTAGTAGATATAGTTGTTGTCATGTCATTGCAAAACAAGTGTATAAATTGACGGAAAAACAGGCCAAAGTGACTCGACCGATCACTGATGTGTAAATGGCCGTTCGAGAGACTTGCACTTTCCAAAAGTGGGGCCGCTGATCTGCGTGGAAGAGGGCTGCCCAAATGGAACCCGATTTCTCTTGTGTAAAATTCTTGGTGTCGGCATAAAAGGATATGTATGTTGGTGATTTATATCATTAATATCATTTAAGTGTAATGAATTAATTTGTTGACCAATGTAATTATGATAAATATCGAACAAGTCTGAAAGGGACGGATTGTACACTTGTTTGAGTTTATTTTGATTCGCCTCTAAACGACTGGGGTCCGGGGGAAGCGCCCCCAGTGGCGGGGTCCAAGGGGCAGAGCCACTGGCTGGGGTCAGCTTGGAAATTTTTTATTCAGGTAATATTGCTATGTGAAAAATGCATCAGAAATCCGAATTTTAAATTTTAAACTCGGTTTTTGGCCCGGTTTTTTAAACCTGGTTTAGGGTTCAAAAAACTGTTTTTGACAGTTTCCGTATTTTCAATTTTTGAATTGGTCATTTTGATCTTGGGAGGTACACATAGATTCATAACGATTTTGGATTCTCAGTTCGGTAAACCACTGAATTTTATCCGATTGAGATTTCGATTGTACTGTCGAAATACGTCAATCTGAAAGTAATATACGACTTTCAGTGGATTCCAAGCAAATTTCTAACAATGTATATGTATATATATATATATATATATATATAGGGGCCTATTCAAGGGAGAACTGAGTTGTTTGTGGTAACTGTAAGAACCAATATTAACCACAAATCAATAGATAAATTAGAAAATTTATAAATTTGGTAATTTTGAATTAAAATCTTAATGCAAGGATATTTTTTGTATTTTAAAACTCTCTTCTCTCCTCTCTTCTCTCTCCGGCCACCGTTCTCCGGCCTCCGGCCACCGTTCTCCGGCCTCCGTTCTCCGGTGATACCTAAAAATATTGACTCTGTTAAACAAAAGATACATTGTGATACCTAAAAATATTGACTCTGTTAAACAAAAGATACATTGTGATACCTAATCATATATAAGATGCATAGTGATACCACTGTGTTACATCTTCGATCGATCACACAAACGACATCAATGTGATACCCAAGCACATATATGATGCATTGTGATACCATTATAGCATCACCAGAGGACGGTGGCCGGAGAGAGAAGAGAGGATGGAGGAAAGTTGTAAAATACCAAAAATATCATTGCATTAAAATTTTAATTCAAAATTGCCAAAATTATAAATTTCCTAATTTATCTATTGATTTGTGGTTAATATTGGTTCTCACAGTTACCACAAACTAATTAGTTCTCATTTGATTAGGCCCCTATATATATATATATATCGTTTTTGGTGTTTTTTTCTTCTTTATTTTGCTTTTTAATGGTAGGTGTTGCCATTAGGGATTATAGGCAATCTGATTTTCTTGCCAACTATTGTGGTCCCTATATTAGCATATGAAAATTTATAGGATTTGGTTTAGTTTAGTTATTCTAATTAGTCGTTAAAATGAATTGATTTCACGTATCAATTAGGAATAACAATAAGTTTGGGTGTTTATTTTAGGTTAGGTATAACGAAGTGGACTCGGTGGTTGGTAAACATTTGTAAAGTTTGAGATACAGATTCCTAAACCTTTTCGTTTATTTGATTTGTTTAAATATGTTTATGAACGTGTAAGCTTTCATTTAACTCATCTTTATTCAAATTGTCCATTATCAAGTAATCCCGTTCACTCGTGATTGTTCTATGTATATAAGATGGCAAGGACGACTTGTCCTAATCACATTATTTAAGTCTATCGTATTGGTACAAATATGTGTTTTCTCCAAAAAGATTACGTTTAATGGTTCGGTAGCATTTTAGTATGATTTGTGCCTCTAAATGTACATATGTTGGTACTTGTAATCGATTATATATTTTTTATTTGAGTCGTCTTGATTGTTCCAACTACTTGTTTGATCAACGTTTTTCTTACTTTGCTTATGTTTGTTCATTCACTCGATTTCAATACGTTTCGATACGTCACACTCGTTGTGACAGGTTAACTCCGGGTAAGTTGGTCGGTTATATTTCACACCTCTAGACTAATGAAATTGGGCCGAAAAGCAAGTATACAATATGGCCCAACGTCGCCTTTCCAAGTAATAAGTGGTACAAGTACCGGATTATCGTCCACAGAGATTGTAGCCAAAGTTAAATTAGAGTCCAATGAAAGAGATGATTTCAGATGACGATTTTGAAGACTTTTCTCTGATTTTAAGGTTATCTAAAACAGAATACAGAATAAATAAAAGAAGCAAGGGTGTAAGACTTAAGGTGAGATCCAGACACAAATTCCAGCAGCCAATGCTGTAGCAATGCTACAGCAAGCAG